GAAAGGAAAGGAAAGGAAAGGAAAGGAAAGGAAAGGAAAGGAAAGGAAAGGAAAGGAAAGGAAAGGAAAGGAAAGGAAAGGAAAGGAAAGGAAAGGAAAGGAAAGGAAAGGAAAGGATATACATTTAAGAAATGCATGAATGTTATGAAACAGAAAAATGGAGGTAGTGTATGTATATATGAACCTTGTAATGTGATGTGATTTTTCACATCTTTTAAAAAGAAATATTTAATCTGTGTATTTGAATCTGTGGCACTTTCACATTTAAAGGTTATGGGGTTTGCCATTAACTTCAGAATATTTCTCTGATATTTCTCTGCCATTAACTTCAGAATATTTCTCTCAACTTCTCCTCATCAAAAGTTGATGAGGAATTTCTGTAATTAAAACTAAAATATGAGCATAAATTAAGTTCTTGCAAAATATGCATGATCTCCTGGAAGCACTCACATGCCACCAGCCTTTTCCTTGAAGACTTGAGTGCTACCAGCTCCCTGTTTTCTCCAGGGGAAATAAGGAGTCTCCCTTCTGCCCTCAGCCAGTTTCCTCTTGCTACCCCCCCTCCAGGTGTTGCTTCTAAACCTCTCAGAAATTGGAAGGGCATGTGGAATTGCTGGAGTAAGAAATTATATGCTTCCTTCTGATATGAATTCTTTTCATTTGTGCAGTATTATATATATATTTTTTTAGTTATTCTAAATCAGTGTATAATGCCAAGTCCTAGACATACCCTTTTTGAGTTATAAGCCCACTTAGTTAAATTATGTTTCCAATTGTATAAGGGGATTTGGGTCCACCCTCTCCCGGTTAAACCACTATAAGCGGTGGTTCTGGAGCTGGACCATAGTCATCCTTTAGGTCCAGAAGAGCATGTGCTGGAGGGTACCAGCTGGGAGAACTGGGAACTAGGCTGTGTGTTTTTTCCCATGGAGACAGAGTAGATAGGTATCTGTTTTGTGATTATTTTTTTTCTGTGGTGAATTTCAGTATTTGTAAGAATCGGCTCTATACAAAACATTCTCTGCATCAGAGAACAGGCAGCCTGCACGCCCAGCTCCTCTGCACACCGTGCCATCCTCGCCCCGCTGCCTCGTGCATCTCCAGCTGCAATCCTGTTGGGGCAAAGACTTCGCTGGAGGGGCGAGGGGGTGTTCTCCAGCAACGAAGTTTCTTGATGCTTCCCGAAAGCATT